AGGCGCACGAGTTCGGCCCAAGGCAAAAAGCCGCCTTCGGCATCGCAGAGGCCCCGGGGGTCGGGGTTTCTTCTTCTAGTTGTAGACTAAACCCTCACTCAGCTGGCCTGAGTTTTGAAGCTGTTCGGCACTGTGTACTTGAAGGTCTCGGCCTGCCTGGGAGGTGCAAAAAAAGCTCTGTGAACGGGCCTTCGAGCTTTTTTTCTGGTCGGGCTGCCTAGGGATTAGGGTTTAGGGTTTAGGATTTAGGGTTTAGGGTTTGGGGTTAGGGACTATCTTCCTCGATGAAGTGTCGCTCCAACCCTCATCCCTAAACCCCTGAAACCCTCCAGCTCCGTTGGAATTCCGTCTGCGGCCTGCATCCCTCAACACCGAGACACCGAAAGCATTGCTACGGAAAGCCTTGCTGCTACGCCGATTGGGGGTTTGAGGTCTGGGGGCTTGGAGTTAAGGGCTAAGCCTTTGGTTATTTCAGGTTTAGGGTGTGGGGTTTACCCTCCAGGCTACTTCCGCGTATTAGCTGCTCTGATGCTGGACTGTATGCCAGCCTGAAAGTGCCATCCCGCTACACGTTTCTGCAGCAATGCCAGGCCCAGTACTTCTGAAGTCTCATTGCCAGTGCCCTTTCAACAGCTACTCAACAAATCACTCTACAACAAACAAAAAATGGCACAGCAATACTGCAATCCAAAGCGATTCATGCACTGGCTTCTCCTAGCCGCCGACAGCAGCTTGGCTTGGCAAGTCTGGACACTTGCTCATTGCTCCCTCACAGCCCAATGCCCCTCATGTCCATAGTCAAGGAAAGCAGCTTGTATTATGCAGGGCGGCGGCTTCCGTTAGTGTTGCTTGTGCCGGGATGTCTCTCTCTCTCTCTCTCTCTCTCTAAACTTGAGCGCACGCTGTTCAAGGCGCCTTTGGGGGATATAAAACAGGGGGCCACACTACGTCGGAGTCGGGAAGGAATAGACTCCAATAAGTTCTGGGCTGCAAGGGTGAGTCAAACATGGGCCCTAAACCCTCATCCAATGGAAATACGAGCGGCACCCTACAAAACACCCAAAACACCCTGAAGCCAAAGCCTCGCAACCCCTGAACCCTACGGCGCTGAGATCTCTGCGTATCTCCGTAGAAGATGTAGAACTCCTGGCCCAGCATGGCGCCCTTTGCCCTTGGAAGGAGTCTGTGAGTTGCGGGAATGGTGCGGTTTAGGGTTTAGGGGTGTAGGGTTTAGGATACCCCAAACCCTAAACCCTAAACCCTGACCCTCTAGGGCTTGTTCAGACCCCTGTAACCAACCCCCTACCTGGCCCTAAGGGCCCCAAAACCCCAAACCCGAAACCGGAACCAAAAACTCAATCCCAGTGGCTCTCGAATATCTCCAGTGCCACCATTGGGTGGAGAGCCTCCTGAAGGACGTCCAGGGCTTAGGGCTTGGGGTTGAGGGTTTAGGGTTTGCCGTGGAACAGCACGTGGGCGGTTGTATCTTGCGACAAGGTGGTGTCGAGTGCATCGTACTGAGGCGATGAGCCGTCAAAGCCTGTCCCTAAAGCCCTAAAACCCTAAACCCTAAACCCTAAACCCTATTCGAATTATTAAGGCCCCCTACATTGCTTAAAACCCTAAACCCTAAAACCATAAACCCCTAAACCCCTAAACCCCTAAACCCTAAACCCCTAAAACCCTTAAACCCGAAACCCTTAAACCCCTAAACCCCTAAACCCTAAACCCTAAACCCCTAAAACCCCTAAACCCTAAACCCTATTCTAATTTTTTAAGGCCCCTCACATTACGTGCTGAGAGCCTTGCAGGTTCCTTCCTTCCTTCCTTGGACCCAGGAAAACCGGGTCCGCGGTTTCTAGGGGTTTAACTGATTCCGGTTTAAGGTTTAGGGTTTAGGGTTTAGGGTTTGGGGTTTAGGGTTGCTTAAGGTTTAACGGGGGCTTCACGGGTTTCAGGCTAAACGGTGTTTACCCTGTAGGCCTTAAGGTTTTGGGTGGAGGGCTACAAGCTTTCCATGCTCCTAAGTAAGGTTCCAAAGCGACGGCATGTCCTGGTTGCCCGTCCGCCTTCCATTTGTTCTCCTGACCATCCAGCTGTATAGGGGTCTAGATGAGGGGGTTTAGACGGGTGCTACAAGGGTGTTGAAGGGTTTCACAGCGATTCAGTCAGAGTTCTACATGTGCTTTATGGGGGGGGGTTGGGTACCCAGGAAGCCCAACCTACTAGAATAGGAAACCCCACAGAAAGGCAAAGGTAAGTCGGCCCCGTTGGGAGGGGCGCCAAGACAGCGCTTATGATGTGTAGGGTTTAGGGGTTTGTGGGTTTAGAGGTTTAAAATGTTTAGGGGTTCAGGGCTTAGGGGTTTAGGGGTTTATGGCTCGAGGCTTTGTGTATCCGGAGCGCAGGCATCTACCGGAAATCAGGCTCTGAAAACGAATACGAATACGAATACTGAGAATGAGACAAATAGCCACACCAAGGATAGTACTGCAAAAAAACATAGCAAGTATCAGATGTTATTTTGCAGCCATAGTCTGGTAATACTAATGATAAGACGAACAAGTCATGATTTTCGAAAACTTCGGGTCAGGGGTCGGTGAGTTTTCGATTGTCGTTCCGGGCTACGAGCTGGAAATGCTGCAACCCGAACCCAAATCAGGGAAGCAACAGAAAGTGACAATAAACCCCCATCTCACAGGTAGTTTTTTTCAACTCAGGGTTTAGGGCCGTGAACCCCAAACCGCGAAACACCCATCTCAGGGGCTCAAGGTGTGTGCCGCTTTGGGGTTTTCGTTGCCCCTTTAGCCCTTGACCCGTGACAGCGGACGCGCCTCCATGCTGTAGCACCACACGTGATGGTCAGGGGTTACACTGGACGTGTCGAGTCCTCCGAAGAAGATCAGACAGTCCGGGTCCTTGAAGCGGAGGCTATTAGGATCTGGATATATGGCTTGGGATACTACTGTGGTGCTGTAGGGTTGAGATAATGGCTCTATGAGGCTGGAATCGAAATCATGTGATTTGAAGCTCGGGGCTTTCCGCTTCTGGGTTTAGGGTTTAGGGTTTCGGGTTTACTTGGGTTGCTAGGCGGACTGAAATGCCCAGATGTTTGCAACCCACAACACTGTCTGCGTAACTTGGCTTCAGGAAACAGCGGAAGTGTTATAGGCCAATGGGTAGGAGATACGCAGTATGTTTGCAGTTGTCAGTGCCGGTTGTGTCTGTTCCTGCTTCTGTTCAATCGGGAAACAGCCCAAACCCTTACCCTCGGCCCCAAACCTAAACCCTCGACTGTGGCATGCAAGCGCAAGTGCTGAGTGATGCAGTCGGGATGGTTAGGAGGGGGCCCGTGCCGCCCAACGGAGCAAGGGATGGTTAAGGGTTTAGGGGCTTGGGGTTTAGCATTAAGGGTTGAGGCTTGCTTGGACCTTCATAGGTAAGGTTATAAGTAGGATAACTATAGTTATAACTCATATCCCCACTTATAAGCACCCATGAACCTCCAGGTAAGTGGGGCTTAGGCATGACAAGAAATTACTCCTTGTGCCAAGTGTCCGCTGCCCATGCAGCAGCATGGCCCCAGCGCGAGAAGTCAAAACTGCTGTAGGCCCTGCCCGCCGTGGGGTTTAGAGCCGTCCACGAATCAGCCTGCACAAATTTCGCGGGAGTCTTCACAGCCTAAACCCAAACCCTAAACCCTAACCCCACCCTGAATCCCTAAACGCCTGAGCCCGAATCCCTAAATCCTAAACCCCAAGAGGCTTCGGTGATCGGTTTCTGGGCCCCCCGTTTCGGATCCCATGATTCGGGCGCTTCTGTTTCGGATGTACGGATCAAGGGTGTAGGATTTAGGGCTTAGGAGAAGATCCAAAAAGAATCAAGAAGCTGGGTGCAGGGTAGTTTAGGTTTCAGGGAACCCTAAACCCTAAACCCTTGATAAACCCTAAACGTAAGGGGCCTAAACCCGGAAACCTTTCACCGATGTGTACAAACATCAACCTTCAGGCTTCATGATCCATAAGTTCAGGGCTTAGGGTTTAGGGTTTCGGGTTTAGGTTTTAGGGTTTAGGGTTTAGGGTTTAGGGTTTGAGGTCTCCCAAACTTTCCACAGACTCAAAACTCGAGCCCGAAAAGGCTAAAGCGGAAATCATTGAATCCTGCATCCAAAGCGCTGAAACCCTGAGTCCTGCACGTGGCATCTCACAAACACGCCTGAACACCCTTATACTTCAGGGCGTAGGTCTTAGGATCCGAACTTCACCTGGCCGGAACTACTATCCCTTAAGAAAAGAGTCAACTAAACCTGACATTCCCTCCCGACTCCCTGCCGCGACATCATAGCGCCAGAAGTCGGACCGTTTCGCAGACTGGGCGGCTAAGCGTTGTTTCGGATATCGTTTCGGCCCTGGTGATGGCTTGTTGTTGTTGTTGGTGGTGGTGGTGGTGGTGGTAGTGGTGGTGGTGGTGGTGGTGGTGGTGGCGGTGGCGCCGTGGCGGTGGCGGTGGTGGTGAGGGTGGCGGTGGCGGTGACAGTGGTGGTGGGAGTGTGGTGGGAGTATGGTGGTATCGTTGTAGGGCGGCATGGTGGCATCGTCGTCTTAGCAGCAGTCAGCAGCTAGAATCGAAACACTAGCAACTGGCAGTCGCAAGTAGCAGCAGCAAGTAAGTAGCGGTAGCAGAAAAGGCAGACAAATCTCGTCCGCAAACACAAAAGCTGATGTAGCTGGAGAGTGTCAGAAGAGACTTAAGCATCTGACAATTACGCAATGCCTTCTACCGGAAATCCCTAAACCCTAAACCCTAAACCCTGAAATAGCTATGAAGG